CAGTCGCGGTCACCATTCTCTTTCTTTTCCCCCCCATACAATGAAAATGAATGGTGACTGAGACATTCTGTCCAGCGTCTCCCACTGAAGAATTTTAGTTACAGGTTTGGTCAGACCTTTAATTTTTTTTGGGGGGGTGAAATTTTTCTTTAAACGTCTTGACTCTAAAGCTACTCTTAAATTAAAGTGGTCTAAATTGACGCTGTAAAGGTCACCGCGTGTTTTTTCACTTGTAAATGGAAATATTGGTATTGGAAATATAACGGATAGGGCCTATGTGTGTTTGGGGTAAGAATAAAGAAAGTTTGTTTGGATTTAGAATCTGCGTCACGGGATCAGTATGTACTTAACGCCAATGTAGTGCTGTTGGGAGTACGTTTGGTTTTAATAATCCTAATACTTGCTGTAGTTATGGATTTAAAACGCACTTTAATAAAGTATATGGGTTACAGTGCTTAACTACGCCAGCATTCAGGAACCCGCCCTTCAGCGCGACACAAGGCGGATGAGACTGAGCTGCTCTGGGGTAATGGCAAGAGGAAATGCCATCGCCCCCGGTGCTCGAATTTCTCTACGTGTAGACTGCTTTTAAAGGAGCCGTTACCGCTTCCATCTAGCTCTCCGTTTGGGTTATGTGGTGATAGTACGATATGTAAGAGAACATGCTGTTATATTAGCTTTTGCTTAATCGGTTGGATCCTGAAGCTGCTCCTCCCGGTGTGTCTCCTCCTACCGCTGATATGACAGTCTCCTCAGCCTCCGCAGCTCAGAGACACGGCGCTGGCGTGGATGCCTGAAAATGCGCTGAAAAGGTGCGTTTGTTGTTTATTACATTATTATTGTTTTTCAAGCTTTGGATTGTGTTGTGTTTGAGCCTGGCAATACGTTTGGTTTGAAGAACAGGATGAAATGTTGACACTGGCTGGAAGACCCCGGTGTTGTGGCTGATTTCAGGTACTTTCAATAAAAAGACTGTTTGATTGAACAGCTTACTTAAGGGTTATAGCCGTCCAAACATGTCTGAAGTGTTTTAAAGTGTTTTCGTAGCACTTGTTGGAAAAAGTCGCACGTGCGCGTGCTTTCCATAGTTTCTTTGTTGTTCATCGCCTCATCCTGAACAGCAGAAATGTCATTATGTCATCATGTTCAGAACGCCCTAAAACAGCTGTAGAAACTGAACAAAAACAATAGTGGTGGAGAATTTGATTAATCTAAGCCCAGTATTTTCATTCGTTGGCTCAGTGACAGGTTACATCGGCACGCCAGTAGGTGGCGACACACTAATGTATTTTTTTTCTGTGTTGAGCAAATCATTGAGTCCTTGAATCATTCACTCAACTGATTCTCTAAAAACAGAACATCTTTAATGACTAAAACGAATTTATCGTCCTTATAATCCCTATCTTGGGTGTATATAAACCCACTGAGTGTGTAAACATCATAAGCCTTTAGCAGAATTATAGACTTGACTTTAATCAAGCTGTAGGAAAGACAGCAATAAGTCTAAATAAATAAACAATTTCAACAAAAATAAGTTGCTTTTATTGGTTATATGTACTTTTTGAATAATTTCCTTTCAGTAACTTCTACATAGCCTACTCGTTCACTCAAGGGGTGATGCCATTAATTTAATGAATCCAATGAAAATCTACTTCACAGCACTCAATACTATTTGCTGGCTACAATAAGTTTCCTTGTTAGATAGCCTAAATATGAACTTGGTTTGTATTCAGGTAAGACCAAACAAACCGTGAAAAATGTCTAAGGTGGATGTGAGCAAATACCTCTCATGTCTACCTGAACTTGAAAGGTAAACAAAGAGGAGTTTGACAAGTTCATACAACAACTTAGTTTTGTGGGTCCACCCAATATTTTGCATTTTATTTTCTGTATTTAAATTATTTTTTTTTTTAAATATTGTGTTTGTGTTTGTTTAATAAGATTAGCTCTTTTTCAATTTTTGTATAGGGGTATAGCAAGAACACTTTATTTGGAGGATATAGAATATGCAAGAATGTGTTGCCCTGCTCTTCTGCCGCTGACGGCCCAAATCTCCGCGGATCAAATGGAAAAGCCCAGGCACCAGTGACTTGGTTACCATCAGACTGGAAAATATGGCACCTCAGCAACCTTCCAGCATGGAGGAGCAGTCAGGGGAGCTATGTGAGCCTGAATCTGAGGAGGGAGAAAAACAAGGACCAGGACCCCCTTCTGATCAAGCTCATCCAGCTACCTACGATGCTCCAGATGGGGGCTGGGGATGGGTGGTCCTGGTGGCTACCATCCTTGTTTTAGCTCTGACGCTGGCCTTCCCCTCCTGCATTGGCATCTTCTACTTAGATCTTCAGGAAGAATTTCAAGCCAGTAACAGTGAGACGTCTTGGGTGCCGTCGATAATGACGTCAGTTTTGCACGCCGGAGGTGAGGATGTTATAGAGAAATCTGTTGTTTCTACACCAGTAGCACAACAAAATGACATTGCAAAAATGACGATAGTTTTAAACAGGTTTCTTCAACATACCGCCTATCTTGTATAGGTTGTACAAACAAGAAATCCCACCTCCAAACTCATGGCATTACCTGAGCTCAGGGTTTCCCAAACAGGAGTTTGTGAGCTAATAATTAATTATATTGAATGTCATATTAAAACTGAAATAGTGATATATTGTATTAAATTGCTATTGTCAAATCAAAGGCTATGCTGCTTCTCTCTAACTCCATTTCTGCGCTGAGTTTAATGTCCATTTCGGAACACAATGTGTGCTACAGTAAGTTCACGTTATTTACAAGAACATTTGCATAATTTCCTAGATGTCCCAGAAGTAGCGATATGAGATATTCTAACACAGTACCAATATATTACAAAATAATACAAAAACATTCTGACAAATTCATGCAACCCTATATTTATAAATTATTTT